CCTGTACTCCTGATGAGGGTCTGTAGGATTGCTAGTACATTGCAACACTTTTCAGAGGAGATACCATATTAGTCTGTTGCAGCAAATCCAATATAACCTTGTGGTGACTGGAAGACCAAAATGTTTTCCTCTGAGATGAGCTTTCCAGACGCTCTCCTCCTCATTCCAGATGCTCTTCCCCTCATTCATTACAATTGAATTTGTTAGTCTTTAAGCACTGCAAGACACTCTGTTGTTTCAAGTACTTCATATTTTTGTGGCAGTGCTGGGATAGATGGATTGCCTTTCAGATACCTTTTGTAGAACAAGATGTTCCATACAGAGGATATCCTTTGGCCTCTATATCTCCCACCATTGGCTAGGGAGTTAAAATCCCCACAGTAACTGGACTAGATGACCACAATGTGCCTCCCCTATTATGGAGCACCAAACATTCTAGCAATTGCCTTTTCCACAATGCAATGCTGATGCCTAGATTTCAAAGAAAATAGATGGCTTCTTTTCTTCAGGTAGCAATCAGCAATCTCAAAGCCGCTGAGGCCAACAGCAGAGGTGTACCTTGTTTGAGTGAGAGTGAAACTACATTTGTTTCCTCAGTTAGGAGAATGTAGGCTGACTCACTTATACTGAAATGCAATTTTATTTCTTTTAGCTGTCCTTTCAACTTCTTGGCCCTGTGTTAATTTTATGCTTCCTATGACATCTTACAATGTGCATGCCAGAGTGTGCATTTCTAGGTATTTCCAGCAGCATATTTACAAGTCTAAGGTCCCAAGTGTTGTACAGAGTTTACAGATATTTTTCATATATTGTTATACCTATTTTTAATTTTATTTGTATTTTGAAAAAACATGGTTTTATGAACTGTTGCAAACCACCCAGAGCGCTTCAGCTATTGGGCCATAAAATTAAATCATCATCATGATCATCATCTACTAAAGACTTTTGCTTATTTTGTTTAAGTGATGTGCAGATGCTTATATGTATTTTAGACCCATATGGAAACACATTTAACTTGAGTAGACATGTCTAATCTGTAGCTGCCCTCTGACAAGATGGCTAACATGAAAATGGGGATATGATATAGCTAATAAACAAGTGCCTGTGGAAAGCTTAGCTTGGAGACAAAATATAGGCTTTCAAAACCCAGAGGATTAGAAGAATTATTACTAACTCTTATATCATCAGTATAGTCCAGTAACAGATAAATGTTTTGATATGAGATTGCTTTTAAAGTTGCATTTCTCTGTGGGTGACCTCCGGCAGAAAGGAGAGTTCACTAATACTTTAATGAATAAAATTAAGTATCTGTCATGACTTGGTCTCCACAATTTAATGCACCAGCACTAGTGGCAGTATTCAAACCACGGTCTAGTCCAATTTCATTTGATTACTTTTTGTTATTGGAAAAGAGGACGGAGACAAGTTCTGTTATCAGCTGCAATTCAAGGTATTGCTTTTAACTTTTTCCCAAGCCATTGAAAGCTTTAAGGTTATCCAAGAGACTACCTTCTCCCATGAGTACCCACCTGAACATAGGATCCCCTTCAGAGGCTCTGTTCCAAGTACCTCCACTAAGGACTATGAGGCAGACGATAGGGAAAGAGCCTTTTTGGTTGTGGCACCCCAGGTGTTGAACATCCTCTACACCAAAATGGTTTTCGGCAGAATTCTTTGGTCTTTTCTGCACCAGATGAAGGCCTACTTTTTATTCACCTTGTTTTTTTTTTTTTTACTTTTGTTTGTTTATTGGTTTATTTATTTTTAGTCTGGGCCTGTCAGTTTAAGTTTATCCTTAATTGTGTTTTCAGTTCTACTAAGTCTTTATTGATTTTTATTGGAAAAGGGTAGCTATAAAAATACCATGATAAATGAGCAAAGTATAAAGTACTTAGCATTGAAAAAGTTGTTGCTATGTTTTATCTTTAGTTAGAGCTTCTTGCTTAGAGAAGGGAAAGAAGGAAACAGATGTTGCTGCATTTTTCACTTAGTCTGCAATTTAATGCACTATGTAATTGGTTCCAGTGAAAATGCAAAACAGGGGTCTAATTTTCTCTTCACACATTCTGCACCTCTCATGATCATGTCACACTGTGAATAGATTCTGGTTATAGCCTATACTGGAGTACTGGGCAATACCGTAATTTTACCTCAAAGAGCAGCGATGAATATTTATTTATATATTTCATTTTTGGCCCTCAGCACAGCCCAAAGGCTCTCTGGGCAGTAGTTGTATTCCCCTACCTCATCCCCCCGTATGATATGGTAGTACAATAATTGGAACAATAGTTATGTGGCAGGAGGGAACCTTGCGAAAATAGAGTCACTTGATACTAAGAGATCTTGGGTCTTGAATGAAAAGCCCAGGTTTTGCAATTCCTGTTTACAGAAGTATGGGGGAGGGGCAGGAACTGGTAAAATGTAATTCTACTTCTTAAGTGCCTAGAAGAAATTTTCCAGTGCCTCTAAGGGCAAAATCTTTTGTATGTCTAGTCAGATGAAAATCCTGCAATGTCCAGCATCCTTCCAGCTGTGCTGGCTGAGGGTATGCTGAGAATTGTAGAACCATATTTCTGTTTAAACATAAATAGGATTGTATTCTAAAGTAATTTGTAGTTCCTTTTGGTTGGTGGAGGGTGAGGAAAACACACTGACTTCAAACCAGCAAGTTAATGGATAGAGCAATAGGAGGCCTAGCTCTAAGATGGCTCTTTGGCAATTTTGATGCAATTTTGTGGCTGGCATGTATTCCCCACCTTTGGAAATGGCTCCTTCCTTCAACTTGACCAGGGTTCTTTCTGAATGCAGATGGTGGGACAGAGACGCTTGTGCCTTCCAAATTTCTTTAGGGCGTTTCAGCGTTTTCCAACCTCTTAGCAGATGCCCCCTAACCTGGTACTGTGTTAAGCACACAGGGGCTGGCAATCGCTAGGACGAGCTTGATAGTAGCCACTGGGAATCTGGATGTGGGCCTGGTCAGCTGTGAGGTGGCCTCATTTTGCAGACAAAATGCCATCCCTGACCTTAATTGCAACTTCACAGCATTGTATTCTCCTGCATAAGTGAAAGACTTGATTACCATGCCCATTCTTCGGTAATGTCCTAGCAGTTGATGTGGATGTTCTCTTCCTGTCTCTGCTGAAAGCTGCTTTTTGGTTCTCCAGTAATGTATCCTTTTTACATTGAAATGTGCAGAAGTTTGCCTACAGGCATACCTAGATCAAGGTTAGGAGACGACGTTTCCCCCATGTACACTTGAGAGTAATTTTCCCTACTTAAGCAGTTTATGCACTGTTTTTTTTTCATAATGAATATTATTCTGTGAGTTACATTGGTCTCAATATGATGTATGATGTGAAAGAGAGCATTTTCTACATAGGTATAACTTTTTTTTAAATTTGGGAATTCTTAAAAATCCCTGAGAAGCATTTTTGTCTCTAGGCAGTATTATAATTATTTTGCTAGGGATTTCGTGTAGGTTGGCCTTAAGGCCCAGATGTCATTTTCCTGCTCAGTTTAATTTCTCTCTTTCTCTCTCCCTTTAAACCAGTGTAAAGACTAACATTTTTGTTAGTCTTATACAGCCTCACAGTGTGGCAGTATAATGGAAAGGACATTCCATACAGTAACAATTTTGGGCAGCTGAAAAAGAAAGATAGGTGAATTGGCAAAAATATCTAGTTCTCATTAAGATCATGGCATATTGCTTTCTCTGTCTTAATTCTTAATCCAATTATAATTTTATATAAATGACCAGTAGCAACTTGTATTTTGCAGGAATAAAGTGTTAATGATAAAGAGATGATGACGGAGTGTTGTCTTAAGAGTCAGCAAGATCAGGGCCGTTTTAATGCATGGGCCTGATGGGCACTTGCCTGTGGGCACCATACTAATCTGTGTATATTAACCCTTGGAAAATTGGAAAACTTCCAAAATTAACAGTAGTTGTAGTTGTCACAGGTGCCCCAGTGCACTGCTTTGCCTGGGGCCCATAATGCTGTTAGGACGGCCTTGAGCAAGATGACATAATACCCTTTTACATTTTTTGGTCCATGGTGCCGGATGCAATCTGTCTTCCATTTCTTAGCGTAGCCATGGCAAGGATGCTGTGAAACAAAGTCTGATACAATGGAAGGCATTTACTTCAGGGAACAGATTCTGCTTGCACTACATGCAAACATTTGTTGTCCTTCTTAAGAATCCTTAAAACTCCAGTTATGGTATAGGTAAGGTGGATCACTTCTACTTTTCAACTTACATGCAAAAATATCCAAAATCTGGCACAGTGAGATTTTTTTTCACCATCAAAGAAACCACCTCTTTCAAAAAGCTGGCATTTTTGTTCTGGATTGTCTTGAAGCCTATTTCAGTGTTACCTTTTAGCAGTTTGTTTCCTTGGGCTAATTGCTTATTTTCTTTGCTAGGGATAAATAGGAGAGCACTCTTCAAATATCATGCCTTACAGTAGCTTCCCTGTAATTTTCCACCCTAGAACAAAGTACTATTTGGCAAACTATTCTCATGTTTATTCTCCATAGGCATAGAAGCAGCACCAAGTGACTTTTGCTCTAAAGATCTGAGGCCGTTTAATAGTAGAAGTGGTGCTTCATGCAAGGTATAGACTGAGAGAGATGCACATAACTCTCCCTTGAGGACAAGCTGATAACTACGCATTAAATCACTCTGTGTGATCAGCAGCCTATTTTTTGAAGGTCAAACTCATTAAGGTAAAACTGAAATTGTATGCAGGGCCTGATGGTACACTGTAAAACCTTTTGTGATCAGCAGGTACTCTGCACACATTTGTTTCCACAAGTTGTGATTTGGTTCCCCAAAAGGCATCCCAATCTCTAAGCTGTCACTCTCTTGCACTCAATCCCCTTCTCTTTAAAAATTAATGCTTTTTGAATGGAAGTGGAAGCAAGAACATCAAGCCTTTATTTCAGGTTATGAGTACAATAAACTATAATGCTAAACTTATTTCATTGCCTCTTTTTTAGTTTTCCGAAAGAAGGTGTTGGAGAAACTCTTTCCTGTTCCTTCTGATGTAGTATCTTCAAGTGGTCCAGTTTCAGAGCAAGAAGTTCCTGAGAGTACTGCAACTTTACAAGGATGCCCCCATTTACCAGGTAATGATGACCTGAGAGGCCTTATGAATGGTTATGCAATGCTTGCTGGATGAACACTATCTTGCTTAGAATGTTGCATGCAGTGAAAGAAAATGGTGTGATTTGTGTTCATCTTTATTGCGAGGATGCAACTTAAACAAGAGATCCTGGCATAATAAGGCTATTTATTTTCAGAAGAGTACAAGGAAAGGGTTGAAAGTACAAAAGTGCAAAGGCTGTGATTGGTGGTGGCTTTATTCTTTGTGTTCAATTTTAGTATTGAATTTGCTGCTCTACCGTTGTTTGTTGTACCTCATCTAGAGAACACATAAGAAGACTGGTGAATACAAATATAGTAAGCACTTGCGGGTAGAAATATTAATCTGGAACAATGAAAGCATATTGTCTTAAATATTCAGCCGGCATCTACCTAAATGCAAAGTGAAAATCACATTTGATCATTTGCTTCTAAAACAATAACACATCTGCCAGTTGCAAAACAGAATCTTAAATTCCTGATGAGTACTCAGGAACTACCCATATTAGAATTAACCCAAGAAAAACAGACAGACAGATGCTGTTTGAAGTTAACTAATTTCACATTCAACCCAGCCATGTTTGGAATAGAAGTGCTTCTTGGAGAACCGGCTTACCCTTCTTTTGCAGCCCGTTCACTGGAAAAAGCTAGTTTGAGGTAACATCTGGTGTTTTCAGATTGGAGGAATGCCTGCAATTGTAATCTTGGAAGTATAAAATGCGAAGCATTGGTAGAATCGGTTCAGTTTGATCAGCTATTCTAACCAACTCCATTGAGATATATGTTAAATATAGTGTTTATTAATGTTAAGTAGACTTACTCACTCCCACTAGCAGTTTCCAAAGAGATAACAACTGCACAAGGAATAAGTAGAATTGGAGATTATTTTGCATTCTCTTATGTAACCCTCCAGGTATAAAATCTTACTTGCTCATAAGGAATATACATCCTCTTCTCTCTGTGAGTAGTTTTGGAAGGTTCTATTAGAATATACTGTTGTGTGTAGGAAGGAGGGAACGATATTTGTTAAAACAGTCTAATAACAAACACCCCACAAGCAGTATCATGTCTAAACCACTGGCTGCAACATCAGAATAAAAAAGTAAACTAACGTAATCCTGATGTTGAGTTATGGATACAGCCTAGCTTTAACACGCATTTCATTCTTTACGCTGAGAATTAGCATGTAAGCTGTTCTTATTACCCAGGTGTACCTACAACAATAGCTTCTGTTTTGCATATTAAAATACCTGCTCAGTAACTTTTCCGAAAGAAGTTGCTTACACCCCCCCCAAAAGAAACAGTATTCCATTTTAAGATATTTCATAAAAATGTTCAGAAGTCACAGTACTTTATTTTCAGGTGCTAACTAGTATGAATATAGGAAATATGACTTACAAGACAATCTTGTACATGTTTACCCAGGTATATGTCCAGTTGTATTCAAAGGGGCTTACTTCTTATTAAGTAAATTAACACCATTCTTTTTGCATTGATTATTTACATCCAAAGCTACTCTGCCTTTACCAGAGAAATGTATATGGTATCGAAAGTCTGTTTAAATAAAATGTTATCTTCTCACCTTGGCCCAGAAGGATCATGGCAAAGAATGCTCCCCATAGGTTTCCACTGTAAAGTTTCTGCAGTATTTCTTGAAAACGCGAATGCTGCCCAGAGCAGGAAGTGTTTGTAGGGAAGAATCCTGTGGGCAAGAGGGGGAAAATCTTTCTTGGATATATCAGTTCTCCCCTGCAAATGTGCCTTACACCTGATATATTTTTCCTCCCAAAGCAGACATATGCTTCTGAAGGGCGAGGAACATTTGAGGACAGGAAAGGCTCAAGCTTTTCCCCTTAGTCTGCCCATCAGTTCTGTCCTATCAATGGTATGTTGAATTCATAAGGGAAAAAAGCAGGATATAAAGAAAGCAAGCAAGCAAGCAAGCAAACAACATTATTCTTCTCATTACCGCAGCAAATACGGTTTTGAGAATATCGCCTGATGACTGTAAAAGTGCATGTTCAATTGGTAGTGACAGTGGTACTTTTTTCTTTACAATGTGAAAGTATTTCCCATGATATATTTCTGGCAGGAAGAACCTTAATTTATCAATGGCTGTCCAGTATAAGGAATTGTAAATGCCTCTAGAGTGTCATGTTTATTGCTAGAACCAATAACCTGATGTTGCAATAAATTCTGATGCTTAACATATTCCTTCAGATTTAGTACCAGCGCTTCTTACTAACTTGTCTTTAACTTGAATCAGTTGGTATGCAAGTGCAAATGTATCTTTTCACTACTTAATAATGCTGTTGTCTTAGACCTAAATAACATTTGTGCACGCAGCCTTAATATAATTTTGCCTGTCTCTATTAGAAATAGGGTTGTTTGGTTTTTGTTTTTGTTTTTAAAAAGCTGCTCCGATTCTGAGGCTTCAGTATTAGTGATACACTGGCAAGCAAGGCAAATATTGTTTATACATATTCATAAGAAAATCTTTGGCAGTGCAATAATGGAATAAACAACTTTTGCAGACTGATTAAACAATTCATTTTAGCAGTTAATTACTGTGGCAAGAAGGAGCACCAGACTGTAATTATTACATTGTAGAGCAGAATATGACATTTTAAATGCCTTTCCATCAAGAACTGGTGGCTGATTATGTTAACATGACATAACTATCAATATCATAGTTGATTATTCATAATATTCTGAGGCCATAGTTTCTTCTTTAGATCAACAAACTACGACTATTAACTTGTGTTGAGAAAAAATGACATGGGGTACTTTTTCCTTTTTACTTGTTCATTTAACAAGTAAAATAAACATGTTCAGTTAGATTTCTCTAAGTCATCAGAACATTTTAATACAAATTGAACATTTTGCAATGTATATAATCCTACACAAATTAACCTAATGTGCATTGGAACTTTCTGAAAAATTGTCCAAAGCAAAATTTACTGGAAAACTCACATTACTGGTTTGGGACAGTTATTCCTAAGCTACCTTCTCTGGGAAATAATTAGCAGTGCAGTGCTGTGCAACACTGACCTAGAAGTAAATCTGTCTGAATTCAGAAGAGGTTACTTCCTGGCATTTGCCATAGGATTGCAGCCTAAATTTTATTTTCCCTAAAGTACTTACTCTCTGGGTCTTCCCATTCCTTCTTTGTATGTATCCCTGTTCTGGTTATATATCATTTTTCCAATCAGGTCCTTACTAGGGTTTAGGAAAACTTGTCAGAAAAACCCAATAGGAATAAAACAGATCACAACTTTACAGAAACTTTGCTGTGGCACACAAGCAGTGTTCCGCTGTTCCACTTTTTGACAATCCACAGGTTAGCAGAATGGCCCAACCCCAAACCACCTACTCAGAAGAACTTTGGGAGGAAGGATATGCATTAGCTACAGGCAGCTGCAGCTCTTCCCATGACTGGTACCATCAACCTGGTAGATCTCCTATAAGTCCCCTAGCATGAATTGACTTATACTCTGGGGCCTTTTAAGCCCCGCTCCCTTTGGCAGGGTGAATGAGGAAACCACCATCACTCACTGCATCGCTATTGATCCTTTCTGGTGCTTCTGTACCAGGCAGACAAAGTAAGCAGTGATGACGTAACACAGGTGCACAACGCACTAACGTGGTAGGTGGATGGTGCACACAAACCTGGGCAAATTCCTTCCAGGTAACTAACACAGGATCTCTAACAGCAAGTACCAGCCAAACTATAATACATAGCAGAATATAATCAAAGAAGGCAATGGGTGGGAGAATAGATGGACCAGGAACTGGCTGAGCCTTGAGACAAATAGGCCAGGAGCAGATGACAGTCATCTATTCTTTGGTCTGGGCAGAGTGAGGCATGGCAATGAGCTGCATTGGGTTAGCGGCACTGATTCTCCTTCCTTCTACTGCCACCTGCCCCCACCCCCCAACAAAGCTAGGCATCAAACAAAGGTGCAGATTTTTCTGTGTGGAAACATATACATATAAATGCTCATCTATTCACCATAGTGAAAAAGTTATTACACTGCTTACTGCCCGGTTGCTAACTATTGATGGGCAAATGTAAGACCTTATATTCTGATGATTACAGTCGACCCTCCACAGTCACAGGAGTTAGGGGCATGGGAGGCCTCTGGAAGTAGAAAAACCACAAATATTGTTAGTTCCCCTTCCAAAAAAACCCCCTCTTAACCCCTAATACTATTGACAATGCATGCACTTGTAGATGCATTGCAGTGGCCTCGTTCACAATGTGAATAGCTTAAAAATGCTTTAAAAAGGCCTGACGTGCTGGAGTGCAGCCCTCTCTGGGGGAACTCATCCTGCATCACATCATGAGCTTTGCACACGGCTGCATCCCCAGTCCTGAGTCTGGGGCCTGCTTTTCCCTCACTGGGGGCCATCGCACTGTTCCAGACTGCAGACAGCAAGGAAAGCGTTCTCCACACAGCTGTCAGAGAAGTAGTAGGCAGGAAGCTGCAAAACTCCAGAAAAATTCCCATTTTTCAAATAATAAAATTCACAGAAGTTAAACCTATATCAATGTTCAGTTGTAGTTATTTTTAAAAACATGTGGGAATAGACCACTCTTCAAATGGATGACTGTGCTCTGTAAAGTAGGAGCCATGGATGCCATAGTCAGAGCTGGAATACAACTGTGGTTCTGTACTGGATCATCAGTCGGGCCTGTGTAAGGGACAAAGCCAAATGATCTGCCCTCAAAAAGGGCTTATAAAGCATGTTGATTCCTTCAGCAGTGCTGCTGTTGGGGGTTGTGGAGATTGTGGAAGCACAGCTCTTCAACCACAAGCCCGAAAGTTCCAATTTTAATTCGGGAACCTTGTGCCTGAGCTAAGGAAGTTTGCACATTCCAGACCAATATCTCCCTAAACATTTTGCACATTATCTTTAGCTGATGAATGAGAAATTTTGCAGGAAAAATAGAAGGCATTTCTTAAGAATTACAATTTCCCTTGTACGCGCTCCCCCCAAAAAATCCAAGCCTGACACTGTCCAATAAATTTTAACACCCTGAAGAAGTTTCACATTTGCTTCTCATTAATTCCAGCACTGATTAACACCTCATTATTAATCAACAGTGGTAGAAGACTTGGCGGTTTGAGGGGTTTAGCATGAATTTAGGGAAATGAATTTACAGAGAAGTTTCAATTAATTTTTAGCTTGATGTCTGTCTTTTCGGGTTGCATGATTAATCAGTTTGCATCTTGTTGCATTATTTTTATTTCCTTTGTTGACCTCTAAAGTGGAAGACTTTTAAACTATTTATCTAAAACTATCTGGAACTAAGAGCAGTTTTTAAAGACTGGTTTAAAAATAAAGGTGAAATGAATAGTAGATATTTAGCTTCTTCAGTCCTATGAAATCACCTCATATCTTCTGAGCAAAATAAAGCATGTTGAATTTTAAATTTCACATCAGTATCTATAGGAGCTGCAGTCAATAGTCTCTTTTATGTGTCTGGAAAGCTGACATCACATATTTTACCCGTTGATCTTCATCAAAGCAATAGTAATGGAAGTAGACTTTCCTTCCTCAGTATTTACAGATTTAAATGCACTCTATAGCATTGTGACTGCATTTTGGCAAGTGTAGCCAAATTGTATTACAGCTCCTCAGAAGGCCTTTGAGAAGTGTGCCAGAATTGCTTATGAGTGGTGTTCATCTCCACAAAGCAATTGCAGAGGGATTGCTGTTGGTTTGAATTTATCCCTCGCAGTGCCTGTGTGTGCTTATTTTTTTCCAGAAATGTTACTGCCAGCATTAACACGTTTTTGAGAAAGCCAATGATATACACTGGCAGCTGGGCTGGAGATCAGGTGCTGCTGCTACTAAGACGTGGCTTTGGTTGTATTAGGACTAGCATAATCTCCGTGTCAGTATCAGTGTGATCTCATAGATGCTAATAGATTAGCATGTTTGTGGTGATATTTGATGCTCTGATCATGTGGTCGGAAAGGGGAAGAGCCTCCCAATTCTGCAAAACCACACGTGTAACTGGCCACCCTAGCCCTAGCCCCGACTCTGATTTTATTCCCCTTAAGATAAATGGAGAGCTTTAGTTGAGCTTCTGAGCTTTAGTTAAGCTGGCAGAAAAAGCGATTTTCCCTGTCTTGCTGCTGTCAAGGGAAGGTGGGCAACTCGGATAAGTGTGGAAGTACCCTAGCAAAAACAATGTGGCTTTTTTTACTGTCTTCTAGATAAGAAGAGTCTGATGCTACCTCCAAGAAAAATATACACAGTGACTGCACCTCCTGATGATTATGTACCAGCTGCTAATGAGGAAATCAGTCACAAAAATCCCGAGGATGATGATGCCAGTGAGGATGACTTTCCGGGTGAGGAATGATGCTTTTTCAGAAGTCAGTGTTTAAAATCATAAGCAGCAATAGAGGGATTATTCGGAAAGGTTTACCCATTTGCACTTCTGCGCCACTTGCTAAGATGGTGGCAGACCTTCTTTTGCTACCTGCCAAATTTTATGAACGTCTGGGAGACGAACTGGGGAAATGCCACCAGCTTGTCTATACAGTGAGAAGAGTACAGTATGTGCAGGAATATGGAAGTCTGTACTGCTGAACTTGGTGCCGTTCAGGCACTGAGTAGCTGTTGCTAGTTTTCGAAGAGCTGAACTACCTCAGATGTGCAAGTGAGGGACTGAATATTTGAATGTGGCTCACATTTCCCTCCCCCTCCCTTCCTCTGTGTGTGTGTGTGTGACAGGGAGGGAGAGAAAGCTTGTAAAGAGAAGACTCCCTCATATGTTAATTGTGTACATGCAAGAACATCTTGATTCTGTAGTGCTCTTAAAGGGTGGTAAGCCGTCAGAGCCAACAGGCCATGGTATATGCTAGCGGGCTATGTTTGGCATGATGAGTCAGCTGGTGTATGGGCCTGCATTCCTCCAGCTGTCTTGCATAGCTACCAGAATCACAAGACAGAATGGTGTAATGTAAAGGTTGTTGCGCTAGTGTAAAGTTTTGGTTTTATTTCAGATGCTTTTCATTTAAATTTGTATTATTGTTGGTTTTAATCCCTTGTAGACTGCCTATGGGCCAGTGCGTTTTCCTGTGTGTGTGTGTGTGTAATACACGGGAGGCTAAGGAACCACATGTGACTCCCTGAGTTTATTTTGCAGCTCGTTGCTGTGGGGGCCCGTGGGCATCCATTTCCCACTCAACGCTCCCCTCTGCATGCAGGCCTCTGCTTGCCACTTGCCGCCATTGTCACCACTTGCGGGTGCCTGCTTGCAGCTTTCAAACATCTGCATCATAATTACAATTTGATCTAGGAAATAGATTCACACAGTCCAGCTGCTAGGTATCTTGATTTGTTACTTCTTTCTTATTGCTCAGCATATAAACTTAATAAAATGGTGCTGTAAGTTTTGCCATCTCTTAATTTTTCATGGTTGAATGATGTCTGCTGCCAATCTTATTCTTAGTGCTTTTATAAGGGTGAAGGTAGTGACAACAAATCTTGTGGATCAGATTACAAGCATCTTTACATTTGAGAATCATATGCATATGGACAGATGAACTGACTTTTCAGGTCTCTAAAATGCTAGAAATTGTGGGTGCAATATATGGTGGAATTCTAGGAATAGAATTTTTAAAGTAGGAGTGACTTCTGTTTGCATTTAACTTTGTTCCTTTTATTGATTTAAAGTATTTATAAGCTGCATTTTAGAATAATTCTAAGTTAGATATTGTCCATGTGGGCAAACCAGTTTATATAAAGTGTTTCCTCCCACAAGAGAACATCATTTACTGCAATGGGGTAGAAATGTGATTGTGAAAAGGAAAGCGTGTCCCTCTGCAGAAATGAATGGCTGCTGCACATATGTTGGGCCATTCAGCTTATAGTTCCTGGAATCCAGGTGGGAGGGGGATGCTCGCACTGCAGAGTCTCACATGGCATTGGGGCTGCTGCAAGGAGCAGATTTTCTTAATAGAAACTCTTTTGAAGGGCAGAATTATTCAGTACATTAACTTGCTACAATGATGGAATCATGGCTCTCAAAAATGATTGAAATATTTAAGAATTACAGGTAAAAACAAATACGTCAGTAGCAAAATATGGCAAGATTAGACTGTGGATACCACGTATCTCTGTATATTATTCTTTTTCCATTTTACATGGGCAGGTGTTTTATGGTCTAGGCAGAATGAAAACATCTGATTTATGACAATCAGGAGACGGAATGTTTAGCAGGAGACTGAAGAAAAGGAACAGCAAAAATACAGCTTGGTGAATATTGGAAGTGGGAAGGGCAGGTGCATGTGGTGTGTATTCCCAAGGCTTTCTGATTGCAACTCAGAGGAGGAGTAACAGCAGGGGGAGGCCTCAGAATGGGGCATGCCCAGATGTTGAGATGAGAGAAGCAGTGTTGCTTATCTCAAGGCCAGACTGTCTGCTTGATCCCACAGCCTCTCAGAACAACCAAGATGTCCAGCTATTGGGAGGGGGCTTGGAACAGGAGAGTTTCCCAGCGACAGACAAGGTGGATACAGTGCTCAACCCCATGATGCAACGTTGGCAAAGAAGGACGGCCCAATTAGAGGTCTGACCTGCAGAGAGGCGTATCCTCGCTTCCAAAAGGCTTCTCTCTAAAGAATGAGGCCCAAACATACTCATAAGGAGAGTTCCTAGAACTAAATACTAGATTGGGTTCAACAAAATGCTCTTGCTTTCTGAGGGATTCATTCCAGGTGATTGTGGTTCTGGAAAAATGCTTTGGTCCATAAAGAACTTTTTGCAAAAAAAAGGTCTGTGGCTTTGAATGTGTGAAGGGAGGAAACCTAGCCCATGACAGTGAATGTATTCAGTATAGCTCATCTCCTGCCTATGCAGTTTCCTAAGTGCTTTCAAGCTTTTCTACTACCTCTAGGATAAGTAATACATTATTTCATTACTCTGTTTGCCTGTAGCTTCATTAAATAAATATCCTTATGAGTGAACAACAATATAATTAAAGGGACTTAGCAATAAAAAGCCTTGAGTGTCAAGCATTGTTAATTAAATCTTGGTGCTGAATCTTCTTTGGCACAGCTTCCGATTCTCATCCTGCAGTTGCTTCTTTGCTGTAGTGGTCTTTCTTCTCTATCAAGCCGAATAACCAAAGTCCAAAATCCTATAACTGCACCTCTGCATTTTTTTTTACTATCATAGCTTTCTATCTGCAGCAGTTTCTATGATTCAAGTCAGGTTTGGTGACAGTTCTTTCAGTCACACACAGCCATCGTGCCTGCCTGACACAGAGCCAAATGGTCGTGCTTCACTCTCCTGGCAAATTCATTTTTCCTCTTCTTTCCCTGCAAAAAAAAAGTTCAATTTCACCACCTTTTGGGGACATTGTGATAAGGAGGAATACATATGTAGCATAACTGGTACATTCTAAATGTTTCAGACTGCAGCTCTCATAAGTCCTGAGCCGTATTGGCCAGGGCAGAAGGGAGGTGACTAAAGCATTTGGAGGTTGCCAGCTTGGGGGAAAACTGAACTAATCTTTTCATATCAAATTTGTAATTCCATTCTTGCACCAACAGTTGCATTTAGTAGAATGACCTCTAGAAATGTTTTCTAGATCATGGTGTCCAAACATCAGGGCTTAGAAATCTCCTAGAGGTTGTGTTTATATTATTATGTGCTGTCAAGTCATCTCCGAATTATGGTGACCATATGAATGAAAGTGCTCTGAAATTCCCTATCCATGGAAGCCCTGCTTAGCTGGCTCTTCAAAGTTCAAGGATGTGGCTTCCCCAACGAACTCAGGCTGCCTCATACTTGCTCTTCTTTTTTTTTTTCTGGTGCCTTCAACTTCCCTTAGCAAGATTGTCTTCTCCAGGAAGTTTTGCCTTTTCATGATGTGCCCAAAGTATGACAGCCTCAGCTTTGTCAGTTTTTCTTCTAACTTTTGTGCCTATTTATTTATTTATTTAGAATATTTATATGCCGTCCTTCCTCAGAGCCTCAGGACAGCTTACATAAATAAACAAAAATGGTAATAAAAACATAATACAAATAAATTCCAGATCCACCCTGGCTGCAGATTAAAACAAAAATAGCTAATATTAAAAGTTATTAAAATATTGTTGAAATAAAAAGGTCTTAGCCTGGCGCCAAAAAACGAATAATGACGGTGCCATTATTAACTGAATTTTGTCAGTTCTGCCTTGATTTGACCTCCTTTTGTGTTTCTTTTGGTGCTGGGCATTTGCAGAGGGCCATGTTGCAAATGCATCAATTTTCTTCCTGCCCGCTTTTGTCAGCTTTCGCATCCATACATAGTAGTCAGGAATACAAGAGTGTGGCTGATCTTCACCGTGGTCTCCAGTGAAATGTCCCCACACTGGATGATCTTTTCTTTCCTTCACTGCTGCCCTTACCAGTCTTAGTCTTCTTCAGATTTCTGGACTGCAGTCTGCCCTTGAGTTGATGACCGAGCCAAGGTATGTAAAATCTTTCACAATTTCAATTTCTTCATTGTTAACAGTACAGTTGTGTAATTCTTCTGTAGTCACAACTGAAAAGGCCTGTCACCCACCTGTCTTCCCTTGGCAGGAACTTCTGCAGTAAGACCACTAAGGATGATTTTAGGGGCCAAACAGGTATATGTGGGAGGAGGCAGTCCTTCAGGTAGCCTGGCTGCAAGCCATTTAGGGCTCTGAATGTTAGTACGAGCCCTTTGAATTGGGACTGGATTTGGACTGGCAGCCATGGCAGATGGTAAAGCAGTCGCTGTTAGCAATCTTGCTGCTCTGTTTCAGGCCATTTCCAAACCATTTTAAAAGACAGCACCACACATAAGCACTGTAGGGATCCTATTGAGGGTTACCAGAGCATTGATAAGTGTAGTTAAGCTATCTGTGTCCAGGTGAGAGTGCTGTTGGTCAAAGCTGAAAAAAGTGCTCCATGCCACCGAGTCCCCTTGTGCCTCTAGCAACAATGCAGGATCTGGGTGCATACCAAACTACAAATTTATTTTATTTATTTATTTAAAACATTTCTATGCCGCCCCCATCGCAACAAAGCCTCGGGACGGCTCACAAAGAATACATACATACATACATACATACATACATACATAATGATAATATAACAATTTAAAAAAATCGTTAAAAAGCCCCCAGTGCATTCTCGGCTATTATTTGATTCTTTGATTTGATTCTATAAATTTGATTCTTTAGGGGAAGTGCAACCTCCTCCAGAATTGACTGACTCATTCATACAGGCAGGTGAACCAGCCACTAACAGTAGCTCTGCCTTGTCTAGACTGAATCTCCCTGGCTTTCTACCCGCAATCGCACTATACCACCTGCCCTTTAACATCTCAGTC